TAGCGACACAGTGACATCCAATGCGACTGCAGCTATGTAGATGACAAGAAATCCAACATTTGCCCCCTTCTTGAAAATAAACTTATACAGTGAAATAAAACTATTTCAAACATGACTTTCCCTTTTGGAATTGATAGCATTCTATTTTCTTTTTCCCAGACTTATGATTTTCCGTCACATTGATGCAGCAACCCTCGCCGTCACACCAACTCCCAAATTCCAGTGAGGCCGATTACTGTTTGGGATTGGAATCACTGGTTCTATGAAAAATGATTCTCAGAGGTTAAGTATTTAGAGATACTGATTTAGTTGAATCTCAGGAGAAGAGTGATTAGCAGCCAGCTCCTTCTATGCAGAGGTGTCAAGTAATGAAGTACAAATACTTCGTTACTGTACTTAAGTAGCCTACACTTTTTAAGTATCAATACTTTACTCCATTACTTATTTTTCCTCCTTCTTCTGACTTCTACTCATTACATTTTCACACAAGTATCTGTACTTTCTATTCCTTACATTTTTAAAACAAACGTTATTTGTTACTCTTGACTTCGGTTTAATGTTTATAAATATTTATTTCATGTCATGTGCGCCATCCACATCTAGTGAAAACTAGTTTAGTTGGATGAGTCATAGAACGCAAACACTCATTGGTTAGCTAAAGGAAATCATCAGAAGCAAGCAGGTGTTCTTCAAACTGCTAACGTGAATTATCTATTTCATGCTACAATGTTGGATCCAGAAAAAGATGTTGAAATGTCTGAAAGGTCGGACACAGGCGAGAGCGTATCGGGAGATGGAGACCAACAAGACCTCCCTCATCCTTGGCCCTTTCTCAAAGAACTTTTAGAAATAGTCGAAAAATTGAGCTTTCAGTTCATATAGTGGCATCTGGCTGTTTTTTAAAAAAAATGTTACTTTATACTTTTATACTTTAAGTAGTTTTTGGAGCAGTTACTTTTTACTTGAGTAGAGGTCAAGTTGATATTTCAACTTTTACCAGAGTGTTTTTAAACCGCAGAATTTATACTTCTATTTAAGTAACAGATGTGTGAACTTTTGACACCACTGCTTCTATGCCTCAGCTGGTAACTCAGGTGACCAGACACAGGTGTGCTGATCATCTCACTACAGCTACTAGGTAACTGCAGCCTCCAGAAAACACCATTCAGACAGAACATTTTTTTAGTCATGATTTTACCAAGTATTTCATTAAGATTTTTATTAGATTCCCATTACTTAATTAAATTATTAATCAAAATTGAATTTATTTCTCATGACAGAAAATAAATAAAGGCTAAGATCATAACCGGGGTGGGGGTTCCACAAAATATGAACAGGGAGTCCTGTTTTATTAGATGTTGTTCTGATCCCACCACATGGAGACTCATCTTTGTCAGGAATGAGACAGAACTTAGTATTTTTACATAAAAAAGAGAAGTAGGGAGAGAAGTGTAAACAGATGGCTTTAAATTATATTAGACAGCTGAACAGTGACATCTAGTGCCCAAGCTTTGATGCTGCAGAAAACAAAGTATCCATAAAACTTCTTTTTTCTTTACTGAGGTATAATCTGCTCCTACCTGCTCATTCCAGTTTAGATGATCCCCACATGTTATCTGTTTACACCAAAGCTAGGGTTTAAATAAATACAGAACAGCTCAGTTTTTAAAAAGCAGAGGATTTTTAGAATGAATAAGAAGCTTCATAATGAATGTTGTAAACAAACAAACAAACCTCCTGTCATTTTTCCACCCACTGACCAGTCCCAGTCGTACTGTTATGTCTGACTCATACTAAGCCTCTACTAGATGCATGATGGTGCTGAATGCAGAGTTGCAGAGACATTTTGATAGAAAATATTTAAAACCTGATAGAGTCCATGCAGAGTTTCTGTTTGATTATTTTGTTATCCTTCATAAAGTCAATGTGTGTGATTCCTCAGTGAGCCATACTTATGAAATGAGCAGAGGAACAGCTGATGAGCAACCTGTGATAATTATCTAAACCCTCCAGTTAGTGGCATTCACAGGAAAAATAAGAAAAGATCTTTGAAAATGTTGATCTTACTGCAATGATAGTTAACTGAGATAAAATATAAGGAAAAATCTTTGTCTCATTTCTTTCCCCCACATTTCGCAAATGACACAATGTATTTAAAAGAAAAAATGGAGAGTGGATACGAAATAAAGGAGAGAGAAAGAGAGAGACAAAAAAAAACCCATCAGAACAATCGAAATAATAAAGTTTGTACAAATATACCGACTTCAAAAATGTCCAAACAGACAAAATCATCAAAACTAAAACAGCATGACTCTTTTAAAACAATCTATAAATTTATCAACAAGGGAAACTTCATTGATGACTGGAGAACAATAAATCTCATCAAATGAACATTCAAATAATGTTCCTGTTATGCTCCTTGATAAAACAGCGATGTCACGACGTCCATCCAGCACTGATATAGATGACTGCAGATGATCACACTATTATCTTTTTTAAATGTTATTATTAAAGATAAGTGAAATACAAACCGTCATAGAGCACTAAAACAAACTAAACCTAAATAAAACCAAACGCTAGGGTACAGTACAGACGCAAGGAAACAATAAATGATCAGGAAATGCAGAAAACCATTAACTGAGAAAAATAGAGGCTGATGAACTGAGTTGACTTCCTGTCCTTTAAAATTATCAAGGAGCAGTAGTACACTATGAGGTGATCTAGGAAATAAGGAAATGAGATATTTCTCCCTCTCCACTTGCAGCAATGGATTACATAAATTACATAAATAAGGTTCTAGTTTATTTGTACAAAAAATAAAAAAAATTATACATCTGGGCTGTAGTTATTCTGTGTAGCCTATTTCATGTATTTAATCTAGGACTGAAACAATTAATCAGATTAATCATGATTGATTAATGAAATAACCGTCAACAGTTTTAGTAATCAAGTAACCGTTAACTGAATTATAGAGACTCTAAAATGTGCCTTTTAGCTCACAGTGCAAACCGATTAGAGCAGTAGTTAAGTTAAAATTTTAAACAAATATAAACATTTTGCTTTTAAGTAAAAAAAAAATGTTTTTAATCTATCAATATGCTCTAGTTTGATTTTCGTAAAAAATCTTCTTTAAGGAACCTTTTGTTATCTGATTATTAATCGATTAATCTAAAAACTAATTGACAGAAGAAATCGATTTGCAAAATAATTGTAGTTGCAGCCCTGATTTTATGGTAACAAAAGCATGTCTTATATACATCTATAATACATCTAAAGTGGAGATAACAGCCAGCCAGACAAACATGTTAATCAGGCTAACTATACTAGACTGCATGCGGCATCATTGTGAGCTCAAACACAGATCAAAGAATCCAAATACTCATACTGAACAAAATGAAACCCTGAAGGTTCGGACACTTCTCTCTCTACCTGTGCTGCGACATTACCACTCATTGTTTTCCTTAAATTCAGCTTTATCAAATACAAATTGATATTTATATAAATAAAAAACTGCTCCTTAATTTGTAAATAAAATCATTTAGACATCATCTAAAGCACAGAAAGGCCAGCTCCATCACCTTCAAGCTGCCCTGCATCATTATCACTGGATATCTGTGCTTCCTATCATCATATAATGTTACCATTAAATAAGTGTGTTTTTACTATTAAAGGATTAAATGTAACGCAACCTTTTATATCATCCTATGTTACATTCTGTCTGACAGTTAAAATAGCTCCTTATGTCCTTGGATTGAAACAAGGCCAAAGCTACTGACAGAAAACAGAAATCAGCAATGCATCATAGAACCATCACCATTGAGGAAGGAACATTTTTATTTTCTCACACCCGGAATGACTTCGTTCTGCAACAAGCCGCCAGCAGAGGGCGCTGTTGGCCTGTTAATATATCTGACAGGCTAAAAAGGATCAATGAGCTGCAGCTGATCCTCTGGTGGAGAGAAGTTTCAGCAGAAACATATCAGGTAGGTCATTAAAACAAACATTATCACGGATCTGATTATGGAAGAGAACAACCAGAAAAAACATCAAAGTGACTTTAAAGGTAGATAAAACATCTTGGTTAGATTTTAGAGAAGAAAAAACGTTACATCCCCAGGGCTTTGAAAAAGTATTCATTAAAGACAATGAACACTTTCGACCTTTAAGAATCAGCTTCAAGAACTATGAGTGGAAAATTAACTGAAACAATAGATGATGAACTAAAGGATGATCCATCTCTGCTGGGGTTTCTTTCCCATTTATTGATGATAAACTTCCTCATTATTCTTTAGCTCTGCTTTGGTTTCTGCTCTAATAATTTACCAACCAAAGGAATTTAGATTTAGTAAATACTCAAACCAAATAAATCATTTAAAGTCAAAGGAGGAACCTTCAGAAATCTGAAGAAACCAGTATTTATTATCTTTTTCCTGAATCACAGGAAGGAAAAAAAAAATAAAAGATTTATAAATCGGTTTTATATCCAGACTAAAAGAAAGGAGACAACTTCAACATGGAGACAGAACTCTGAAACATTTTAACATTAACTTTATTTTAATAAATATTCTCCAGTGTACATAAAAAAAAAAAAATTTTAGAACATTTAATTACCATGACAACAGTGTTTCTCTGTAGTGGAATGAAGCAGCAAATCCATTTTCCAGAGCCTCTATCAGACCAAACTAGACCAGTGAGTCTGTCATGTTTCTGTTTAGTCATCAGTCAGGTTCTGATCCTCTGCTCCATCATTTTAGGTGCTTCAAGTAGTAAAATAAGTTCAACTCTGTTCATATGTCAGAGAGTTTGGTTCTCAGAGTCTCTAAAAACATCACAGTGACTTGACTTAAAATCTATGTTGAAATCACTGCAGATGTTCTAACAGAAATACATTTTTTTTTTAAATCCCTGAAAAAGCTTCAGTTCAACCAGGACATTTGATAATTTGTTGATCTGAAGGATTCCTGCAGAGTCTGACAGCAAACATGGAGAACCTTTGATCGTTTTACCTTTATTACCTGATAACCCCTCATTATCAGTCCAGCTGCAGGGTCACCTGGTTCCATTGAAAGGCCTCTGACTGATCCTGAACACTGTGTCCATCTCCAGGATGCTGCAGCTTCTAAGCTGAATCTGAGCCTTTAACGTCTGCAGTAGAGAAGAATGAATGGAGCTCCCATTTAAATAAACACTAGTCTGCCCTTGAACAAAGCAGCCAAAACTGCAAGACAGAGGATTCAGCCAAACTGTAAAACAAAAATCAAACAAGATTATTTAATTAATCGTGTTTATACAAGAAAAGCTGACATATTTTAATTATTTCTGACCTACTTCTTGTTTGTCTTTCAATCTATGGCTGAGTAAACTTAGACAAACGATGAAGAAACTCAAGGGGAAAATGAGGAGCAGTCTGGACCGACCATCTGGAATAAAAGAAAAACATCAGAATAAACAAAATGTAATGTAATATTTAGGTTGTTATCAGCTGTTTGGACCTGTGGACCCACCAGAACTGCTGGGTTCATCCTGTGGGGTCGGATTGATGAGGCTTCTGTGAGGAACCGACTCTGTTGAAGATAAAGATGAAATATCAAACCTGGAAAAGCTTCATCAGAATCTACTGGGACCTGAACTCACCAGTCACTGTAACGTTGCAGTCTGCAGAGCCCCTCCCATAGTCAGTCCTGATGTTACACACATAGAGTCCAGAGTCTTCAGTCCTCAGTCTGGACAGATGGAATCTGATCCGTCCTTCTCTGAGGACGTCTTTGTCCATCTGGACTCGTCCTTTAAAGTGTTCATCACTAAACTCTGACTCTTCAACATCTTCATGTACCCGATAGAGGACTATTTCTCTGGGAAGAGTCAACACGCTGCAGTAGATGGTCCTGGTTCTGCTGGGTCTGGTGGTGAAGGTCCACTCCAGAGTGATGTTGTGGTTCTCCTCTGCCTGATAGGAGCTCTGTGTCACATTCACTACAAATGTTGCTGCTGAGGAGACAGAGAGGGAAAGAGAGGAGCAGTGAGACACACTGAGAACTGGAACATGGGAGTCTTTAAACTCCATCTCTACAGGTTTCTGTCTCATGATGGTCTCTGTGCTGTCAGAGCTCTGCTTGATTCTCTTCTAGTCAAACTGCTTGATCAAATGCAGCTGGAGGATTGAAGTGTTACCTTCACTGACAGACTTTCACTGATTATTGATGGATTTAGAACAAAGAGAAGATGGAAACTCACCACAGAGACATGAGTTGATGATGATGAGCAGCAGGATCATCTTCTCCCTGAGAGAGGACACAGAGAAAAAAAATCAGAAACATCAGGCTGTGAGTATATTCCTCGTTTTATCTGGAGGTTATCTCTGTAGCAGCAGAAAAGACACAGTAATTGACAAGAAAAAAAAGATAGAGGAGAAAAACAACAGTTTCTCAAAACCAAAAAATACTAATTAAAATGAAAAATCAAAGCTCTAGGAGAACTCTAAAGATTTGGACTGTTTCAGAACCTTCATTACCTGCCGTGATGTAATAAGATCATTTTAGAGCAGATGACAGAGATGACTCACTAGTTAAATTCAATAATACTTCATTAATCCCAAATGGAAAATAAATTATGATAATATTCATTAATAACAATTAAATGTTCCAATTCCAATGTGACCCGTCTGCTGTGGCCCTTGGTTTTATTTACAGGAATCAGATTGCTGGATTAGTGTCCTATATATATATATATATATATATATATATATATATATATATATATATATATATATATATATATATATATATATATATATGTGTATATATATATATATATATATATATATATATATATATATATATATATATATATATATATATATATATATATATAATATAGTATGTATTATATGTAATATGTAGTATTACAATATGTAATACAGTCTTTCACACCTCTGTTAAGGGTCTAAACTTCCAGTTGTTAACTAGTAAATACAGCTCAGAGTTAGTTTCTCTCCATATTTAATGTGAACAATGGGAGGTGAGATGAAGCAGCAAAAAGTAGTATACTTAAAGTAAATTCTATAAAGAATACTTAAGTATAAGTATAAGTTTAGAAAGTATACTGAACAATGTACTTTTAGTGTAATTGAAGTATTAATAAAGTAATGCTTCTTCGAACTAAATTGGGACAATTGTTAAGTATATGAAATACAGTTTAGAATAAGTCAACTCTAAGTGCACTGCCTGATTTTAAGTATGAAATTAGTGCACTTTTAGTATACTGGAATAAAGTACTTTTTGCTAAGCAGCAGAGGGAAGTGAAGCAGAGGTTTACCTTGAACCTGAGTCCAGGACAGGTAGAGGCAGAAGGTGGAGGTCCAGAAGGGAAACCTGAGCAGAGACTCCATCAGATCCAGAATAGGTCCCAACATGTACCGCTCCCTTTGCTCCTTCTGCTCTACGTCTGCTGTTGCTACTCTTTACTCTGTCACTGCATATAAATGTTGAACGCTGGGCGGGGCCTCTTTTGCCTGGCAACCAATAAACAGGTTCAACAACTGTCGCTGCCTTTGATCCGGTAGCAGCAGGATTCAAAGTGCTCTAAGCTGCTCCTTAGAGCCTCTCTGGTGTTCCTCATCCATCCATGCTGTCTTCTGGATCTTCTCCCCCAGTTTCTCTCTCTTCTCCTCGGAGCCTGGAGCTCTCTGCAGCGGCCATCCTTCAAAGCATTGACCTCTGCGGTTCCTGCTTCTCCTCTCGCTAGAAAATGTCCTCATGTCCATCAGAAATATAAAGGAGTGTTGGTAGATGGCTTTCATTCCAGTCTGTTTACATTTAACGGCACAAAAACAGCTCGGAAACAAACCAGGTGACGATCGGAGAGTTGTACAACAGAAAGTGTGCATGCGTGATTTTTTTCCCAAATCACAGGTTGCTAATCAAAGGGGTTGTTTGATTTCCTACACGTCGTGGAACGTTTCCAGATGTTAAAAAAACAGAACCAAAAAACAACACACCGCTCGCGCTGGGAGAGGACTTATAATAAATGACGCCAACATCAATCCACACTGATGTTGGCATGTAGCAAATGTCTATCACACAGCTTTATCTTGACTCAAAAGACGCCATAGTTAGAAAGCAAATTTTAAACCATCAGACAGAATTTATTTACCAGGCTGGATAAACTGGTCTGTGTGACAGCTAAATGCAGAATAAAGTTTTCTCAGCTTTGTTTGGTACTGTAGCATTGGAGTCTGTGAATGTACTCTTTGGGTGTCAAATCCACTATAGGAGTTCAGAGTTGATAGTTATTTCTTTTTCCATTTTTAGTATGTAAGGGTCTAAACTTCCAGTTGTTAACTAGTAAATACTGCTCAGAGTTAGTTTCTCTCCATATTTAGTATGTAACACTATTTTTAACAGTCAATTTTAATTACTAACATGTGGCACCTCAGAGTTATATCTGTCCATTAAGAGCTAAATTAACACTTTCTTTGAACAGAGTCTACTAACACCGTATTATTTAACACTTTTCAATTTGCTGTGGCAGCTTCATAACAGCTCAAATTAAATCCAGCAGTTTTTACCTTCAACAGGAATCCAGACCAAAAACCAGCAGATGATTAAAGTCAGACATGTTGAACGGCTGAAGAGAATCTGATAGAGAACTGCTGCTGCTGCTTCTACCATCACAGTCCGCACACACGCTGACACAACCTTTCTAGTACTCGTTGTCCATTGGGCAAGTGTGAAGTAAAATGTTCATTGTTTAGGCATCGGGTTTTGCCTCCTAGCCCACTGTTCCTCACAGAAGCTGGATAATGGCTGTGACGGTTGTGAAATGATTTTGCACCTCTTTGAATAAGAACTTCCTTCATTGACTCAGTTAGGGTCTCAGCCCATTTAGCGGGATCACTAGGTAGAGTTGTCACTGTAGATGGTGTTGAAGAAAGATTCAGCTCATTTTCTATGCTGTCCAGAGGTGCAGTGACCTCACATTCATCCGAGCAACTGGCTACTGCTGAATTGGTTGAATCATAAGCATCAGAAGCATTTGGTTCAGTGTCTACACTTGTAGTGGTCTCAGGATCTTGGGAGCTACATACTAGCTCAGGTGCATTGCTAACCTTAGCTGAATTTGCAGTAGCATTTATAGAATTGCTTTCAGCAGATGTCTTTGTACTGAAGAAGCTGGAGATATTTGGAACACTCTCAAGTAAAACTGATTCCTTTTTTTTCTTTTCTTGCTGAATTTTTTTTCTAGCTCCTCCACTTAAACGTTTATGATCCATATTTCCCTTCTTTCTTTGCACATTGGCTCTTTGCCTATCACAACAGATAAACCAACTATGTGTGTGTGTGTGTGTGTGTGTGTGTGTGTGTGTGAGTTTGTTTGTGTGTTTATGATCGGTGCTGCTTCCTTCAAGTGTGTGAGGTGATTTAGAAAACTAGCAACCCAGCATCAACACTCCAAAGCAGAGAATAACAGCTTACTAGCATAGACAGGAGAGAGAGAGAGCCAATTACAGTGAAATATATTCCAAAAGAGCCAAGTGACTAGCTAAGGCAGGGACAAATGCCTTGGAGTGACCAACAAGAGTGCAAAGTACCAAATGGCAAAATGTGGGAAGACCAACAGGCAGATCTGCTTTTACCACTTATCTTCACAACCAAAAAGTCGCTAAATGATGTTTTTAGTCGCTAGCCAGGTATGGCCAAAAGACACGAAATCTAGCGGCAAAGTCGGTCAATCACACTGACAGTGAAACAAATATTTTGAAAAGATAATAATTGTACAACTTTGTGCACTTTTGTCTTCTATCTAAATATTTTCACAAAGGACACCAAAATGTTGCTATCTGCAGGCAGCTTGCTAGCTATGATGGCAGCAACGATGTCTGCCAGACAGGAGAGAGTGGTCAGTGACGATCGAATCGAGAAAATGACAAAATGGGTCAAAGACCAAAAAGTTATTAACTGACAGCAGTGACAAATGTCAGACTGTAAACGTTTTCGAAAGAAAAGGACAAAATGGGAAGATGCTGATAGTAACAGCAAAATGGAAAATATAAGAATTTCCAAGTAATGCTCAACTCAAGTGTGTGTGTGTGTGTGTGTGTGTGTGCGCGCGCGTTAAACTTCTTGTTGAATGATTTCAAATTATCTCTGAGTCTGAACTGAGGGAAAGGAAACCAAATTTTGAGCAGTCTCTCTCGAGTTCAAAATACCAAATGAGGAGATTCTAAAAGAACAGACCGGTTTATGAAAGACTCGATGGGGGAGGGGCACAGCTAAGAATACTTGAGTAAGATTCTGTGATCCAAATTCGAGATAGAGCTTTTTGATAATGATAATTTGTCAGAGTAAGGTTGTGTAATCAAAATTTGAGAATGAGCTTTGTCAATCAATCAAGAATATTTGCATTAAGTTCTGTGATCAAAATTCAGAAACAACCTTTAATAATTGATAAAGAATATGTGAGTGAGGTTGTGTGATCCATCCAATTTGAGAATTAGCTTTGATAATAATGATTGAGAGCCTCTGGCTTTCTGTGGATCATGGCCGCGGGGCCAATTTTGCCTGGCCCCTTGGGGCCTCTGTGGGTCGTGGCCGCGGGGCCAAGTTGGCCTGGCCCCTTGGGGCCTCTGACCCTCTATGGATCGGGGCCAAGTTGGCCTGACCCCTTAGGACCTCAGGCCCTCTGTGGGTCGCGGCCGCGGGGCCAAGTTGACGTTGCCCCTTGGGGCCTCTTACCCTCTATGGATCGTGGCCACGGGGCCAAGTTGACCTGGCCCCTTGGGGCCTCTGGCCTTCTGTGGCTTGCGGCCGCGGGGCCAAGTTGGCCTGGCCCTTTGGGGCCTCTGGCCTTCTGTGGGTCGTGGCCGCGGGGCCAAGTTGGCCTGGCCCCTTGGGGCCTCTGACCGTCTATGGATCGTGGCCACGGGGCCAAGTTGACCTGGCCCCCTGGGGCCTCTGACCCTCTATGGATCGTGGCCGCGGGGCCAAGTTGGCCTGGCCCCTTGGGGCCTCTGACCGTCTATGGATCGTGGCCGCGGGGCCAAGTTGGCCTGGCCCGGATTATAGGGCGCGGGTTTTATATACTGGTACATATCCTCTACTACGTTTAAATACCTCTACTGCATATTTAAAAAAATAGAGCGGGAGCAAAACTGAGTATGTTTGTGCTTTATTCATGTTTTTATTACAAAGTATTAATCAGACATGCAAATTTCCCCTTCTTCGCTGTCAGAGTCACTTTCCGTGCCATGCGGCACCTCGGAAATGATGCCGGCTTTTGCGAAAGCTCGAACAATAGTGCCAGCAGACACGTTAGCCCAAGCATCTACAATCCATCCACAAACTGTGGCGTACTGTAACTTGCCCGGCGCTGCCTTCCACTTTTCGTGAAAAAACGAAAAAGCACCTCGACGGACCTCCTTGAAAATGTTAAATTTTTATTTCTTCCACTAGCGTTACTGCTTTTAGTCGAACAGTGACCGTCGAAACGCTCACCCCACTCGTTGTTTGCTCGATGATCCACCGCTCGAGTCTTTCCTCCAACTAGGGCCACCCTGCCTTATGTCCGTGGAAACTCAGCTGTGTCTTCATCGTCTGTCGGAGTTGGTTTTCCATCTTCCTCCGCTTGCGAACCATCGATTCATTAATCTTGAATTCTCTCGCGGCTGCTCGATTTCCATGTTCCTCTGCGTAGCTGATAGCCTTCAGTTTAAACTGTGCTTCATAGGCCTGTCTCTTTGCCATTTTAAGAGTTGTTAAGACAACAATGTTCCGCATAAGGCACTTACCTGTTCTTTTATACACAATCCACGCCCACACTTCCCCCTTTAATGTTCTCATGGTGGTCTCAACAACGTCCGCAGTAACAACACACATAGGGCGCTCTGCACTATAGGGTGTGCCGCACATTTTGAGGGAAAAAAAAGATGTTTATATGCGCCTTATAGTCGTGAAAATACAATATATATATATGTTTTTTGTGTACTTATTTTTGCTTATTTTGGCTGTTAGTTACCCAGTTTATTAAATTACTCACTCTTTTGTGCTGTACTTTTCCTGCCAACTTGCTGTGGCCCTCCAAGGTCTCCGGCCCCAACTTTGAAAACCACTGTCCAAGATCATGATGGATGTATGGATATTCAGACCAGCACAGCAACTCCAGTACTACAAAGAAAATAATATGGCTATGCACGCTAAAATATTCAGACACCCATGGCAATGCATATAGTTCAAAGAAATAAGAAACTGCTAATTCAATGGGCTCATTTGACAACATTATGTTAAGTCATTTTTAAAATTAAAAATTCAGATCTTGTACTGTATGTTGGAGGATATCAGAAATGTAAGAGTAAAAATAGCCAGAAAATGTACTATAGGCCTACACAGCATGACTGAGTGTTCTGTAGCTTACACACTAGTGTACAGTGTATATGTTGGGATTTACTCTTAATTGCACATATTTAGTAGCAAAATAAACATTGCCATCCATAATAATGTCTGACATCCATAGCTAAAAAAAAGACTAGTCATACTTAATGTTTGCAAAGTTTTACTGCCATTAATGAATAACATGAGACATAAC